CTAGCGGTGCAGGAACACTCTGTCAAACGATCAAATGTCTTGAGAGAGTCGGGCAGAATGACACGCAAGAAAAAATCCCTGTGGCCTTGTGAAAGGGGATGGCCCCGGCCCTCAAAGATTCACATATGCATACGAGAGGTAATTACTGTGCACGCAAAAAAGAACGCAATAATTCAATTCCCCCAACAACAACAAAAAGGGATCCCCATGAGTCCAACACACGGGCCCACAGTGGCCAGCACCGTCCGCACCGATAACCCATCGTAACAGCGCATGTGCAAAAGGAAAAAAGCGCAGCACGACCCCGCACACGGAATAACTTGAGCAAAAACAAAGGTGCGAGCGCATCGAACACCGACAATATAAATGAATAAATGAATAAAAAAAGGAATATCCACCTGGACTGCTGGCCGTATCCTAAATTTATCATTAGAAATCAAACAAAACGGAAAAGAAGAGGGGTGAATGGAAAAACTGTGGATCCGTCAAATCATAAAATTTTCCACCACATATGTAAATATATATATATTCGGAAAGCCGCTCCCGTGACGTAGAGCAGTGTATTCGGATTGGGGACATTTATTACCCACGAGGTGAAAGAATTTGGGATCCTCCAGCCACAAGACCCCGCCGCTCCCCTTCGCAAGTTCCACCCCTTCGCTAATTCCTCAAGTGTGAAAACACGACCGCGTGATATGCCGTCTGCGGGGGTTTCCGCAGACAGTACTTGAGCAAAGGATGCCTTTATTCCGCGAGGGTCCGAAAAACCCATATATCCGTTTCAGCTCCCGCGTCGTGGCGTGTGGTTTCGAGCCGCCCTTATTCGCAGCTCCTTGCAGCGAAGTATTGCTCATCCAAACGTCGACGGTGCGTGGCAGGATGGCGGAAAAAGCCATTAGGGCCAAGCGTACCGCGCGTGCCTCGGCCTGCATGATGCGAAAAGGCATCTTATTCCATTTTCCTCCGGCAATTTTGACGTTGCTTGAATCTGGAATGAAAACGGCTCCCCATCCATGGAGCGATGCGTCCCTGATGATGGCGGCCGACGCCTTTTCCGTGGGCTCGATGATTCGCTTACGGTTGTATCCTCGATGATGTGTCGCAGTCTCTCGCCCAAGCCAACCGCTGCCGGCGGAATTTTCACCGGGGATGTCTCCTGCACAATCCCCCGGTCAAGTGCGGATAATCGTCGTCGCACTGCCTTGATGAGAAAGCAGTAGACACATAAACACGTGCCCAAAATGGCCGCCGCATACTAAAAGCGTGACGCCACAACCTCCATTTCCGCGATGGTTAAAGAATTGAGCGCCGGCATGGCGCATGCAGACCGGACAAACTTGTCGCTCAGGGATACCGCACGGTGAGTGTGATCAAACTGCACCCCAGGAAGGTGTACTGCGCAGCACCCGATTCGCGGTCCTCCCCCATCGTGGCGCGACGGCCGTCCGCATTACGAAGCACTTGGGCTTCCCACCGTGTCACATCGCCTATCGACCCTGCAATGCGTATATTATCGATCCATACTTCGACACGCACCAATGGAGGTGCAGCCCAGAGGGGGCGAACCACCGTCGTCACCACCGCAATCGCCGAAGTAATAATAATCTGGAGAATTTGTGGGCCGGCCTTGTGTGCCATTGGGAGCCGTGTCAGCTCCACCAGCGTGCCGTCCTCCACGCGGCATCAAAATAGATGCCGAGTCTCCCGCGGTAAAGGGACTTGCAAAAAGGACGCCTTTAAGTCCAGGCAGGAAGCGGCCTCAGCCATCACAGGCGGCAAATAATGGGAAATGTGTAGAAGAGGAACATTAGCCTCGTAAGCGTCGTCTCTGTCCCTGTCGCGTGGCCACGCGATCCATCGTCGTCGCAAACCGGTGGTTTTCTCCTCTACAACTGAGAAAGGTATTATCTATCCGCCTGTTCTTGCAGAAAAAGCGTCCTCGATTATTCCCGCTTCCTTCAGCAATCGCGCGTCGGCGACTGGAATCCTCCGTGAGCTTTCGCGCGCCTTGCCGGAGGAGGGCAGAGGGAAAGGGGACCGCCCGACGAGTCCCCATACTTGCATGAGTCTCTCCAGGGTGGCCGGGTGCAACCGGCTCTGGATCCACTCCAGATTCAACACGGGCACGTTGACTTGTTGCTGCGGCGGGATGGTTCGTGCATCTTGTGGAGTGGCCGGACGCGTCTTTGGCTCGCGTCGCGTTATTGTAGCAGCGCAATGATAAAAAGCATGAAAAACGCTTCTCTCCTTTCAACCAGAGTTGATGCCCTTCGCATTTTTCCCTTCACATCAATGCGAGCAGCGACGACACCTGGGTCAGCACAGTGGTGTATCTCCCCAAATATCAAACAGTATTCTGGGGAAGGTCGAACGGGTCAACGTGCATCGCCAACAGCGAGATCACGTGTGGGTCAAAATTGCATGTCTCCACGATTGGGGCTGCGTGCCTCAACGCACCCTGCTTTGTGGAGTGCGCCGTGGCATTCCAAGAAACCAGAGATCGCTCCACGTGAGCAGTCGTCAGATTCGTAAGCTTTCGTTGCGTCGAAGTGTCCTGCATAACGTTATAGTGTCGGACGCGTCCTGCCCTCCTCGTATCCTGACGAACCGCAAAGCTTGGCGGGAGTCCGCCCTCGCCGTCATTGACGCCACGGACCAATCCAAAATTATGCTCCAGCGTGAAATTGTTGGGGGTTAAGGCTGCAATCTCGGAACGACAACTCGCCGTTATCCACGCAGGTCGAAAAGCAACACGTTGCTTCCAGTCAGTCCGGCTGTGGATATATCCATCCACCCATTCCCTTGTCAAGGGGCGCGCCTTTTTCCTCTCCAATCGCGCCGCAACCCCTTGTAACCCCAGAATCACCATGTCCAGCGGGGTTCGATCCATTCGCAACACGGACCGCAGCATCCTGGCGTGCCGCACTCTGGACTATGGCGCCGCATCTAATATTGCCGCCAAAAGGGCGCGCAGCCCTCCTCGTTGATCGGCTGTTCGCGCGTGCGGCATAAGGTTGTGAATTGCCCCGCCAGAGGCCTTCTCTGCTACCACACTGACAGCGCACACATTTCTCGAGTCGCCTCTTTCGCTCTCCTCATACGGGTGCTCCAAAGCGGGGATGTCGGTGCTTCGTCGTACCACAGTCGAGCGTCGTTAGCGGATAAGCTCCATTGCCCTTCCCGACGATTGCGTCGGGCGATTTCAGAGGTCGGGCGGAGTGTCGGCGGCGCGGTGCGCTGCCTGTGAGGATTGGTGGGAGGTGGCGGATTGGATGGGGGCTGCCGTAGTCCGCCGCCCACCAGCAGCCCCTCTGCCGTTTTTTGAAGGGCGCCTGTATTGTGAGTAATTCCCTCTCGGAAGCGCGTTGTAATTAGACGCCTCTTGTCCATAAATACGACACAATCGGCATCGCAACAGTCTTTGTTCTTCTTGTTGTTGTTGGGTAGCTCGCCGTTACACGAGAGGCAGGGCTGCCTTCGCGAAGGTGTCAGCCACATGAACAGCCATGTGAAGGCGGTCGCGAAGTTTGGAGAGCGTGATGCTGGGGTCGGATGCCATCATGATCCGCATCCGGAAGGTCTGCAGTAGGGTCCTGCCAAAATCCATGAGCTGATCGGTGGGATCCCGATCTATCTCGAGTGCGCGCCTGCACAACACCAAACCGTCGAAGACAAGTTGAACCCAAGACTTCACTTAGTGCCAATAATAACCGTATTCGCATCGGAGGTCGACGAGGACTCCGGAGACGCCCTCATTTCATACACGCGGGACCCAAGTGTCGACGCCGAATGCAAGAAAATGCAGTACCTGATCCTCTGCACCGGAATCATCTTCCAAGGGGGAAGTGCGGGAGGGCAAAGGCATCGAGTGAGGGAGATGTGTTCTCCCCACATCGCCCTGAGACTTATGGGTGTTGACCCGCCATCTCTCCCGTGAGATTGCGTTGAGGAAACGTGGATTCTGGCACGTCACCAGCCATCAAACGCTCGTGGTGGGGCGGTGTCGATGCGCCAACTTCGGCCCGTGTGCGGGTGCATCTGGGGGCCCTCTCCTGGAAGAGGGAACTCCTCGCTGTCCGGGCGTATCGGCACCACAAAGCTGCAAGCCGCGCTTCCAAGGCACTGATGCGTGCCTCTCGTTCCTGGAGTTGTGCCTGGGGTTGGGCAGGGGCTGTCTCCAAATGGCGTTCGCGCCCCGCAAGCACCGATTCTCGTTGCGCAAGAAGACCGTCCACCACCGCAGTGTTGGACGCACGTGCCGAAAAGTAGTTATTCGATTCCTCCATCTGATTTTAAAGCTAAGCATTCCGATTCTGCAAGTCCGCGACGGTGACGGCGTAGTCCGAGTTTTATCTCTGCATTTCCGCAATGATCAGCCATTGTTAAACCCTCAACTCACGGGCTGCCTCCAAATGATGGACAAGAGAAATTGGGTCTCAAAATTTGGTGCTTGAGGCGCCCGGAGATCCGCAATGTGCCCCGTAAGGATTGGATACCTCCCGGTGCTTTGCGATGTTTCCTGAAATCAATCGTAAACCATTTATGGTAGCACTGACAGTCACCATTGATTCCGACTGTCCCTTTTCATCCATTTAGGCAAGTTGCACCTGTATATCGTTATGTTGGCGTGCCACATTCGCCATGCAATTACCGATAAGGCTCCATTCAGTTGCCCTATAAAAGGAATCCATGTCATTTCTTCAAAGCAGATTGAGAAATTGCGGTATTGCTGTAAAAATAAAAAAATAATAATTCCATATTACAGCTATTGGTTCCCTGATTCCTTAAATCGCCCTCTTTTAAAGATTCATAAGATAGAAAGAAATCGCAAGGAGCTATTTTCTTCATATCAATATATATATATATATATATATATATATATATTGATTTAGGTAGTCGTTTTTCGCGTGAACAATCGCTTCACAGGCTCCTAAAAATAAAATTAAGAACAGCTCCCCAAAATGATACAAGTATTTTATTGCCCCTCTTCTTCCTGGCTCCTACTCCTGAAAGTAGCGTTTCTTTTGTCGCAGGGTTAAGCTGTTCCACTCCCTCGGTGCAATTGCCAGCCAATCCGTTTCTTCAAGCGGACCCACCGACGCTTCCAGTTGCCGCTGTCCCTCGCGTAAAAAACAAAGGTATGCAGTTGATTCCCAGGTGGCATCGGTGTTTTCTTCCTCCTCTTTACCAGTTAATTTTGAGAATGTCTGATGATTATAATTGATCGTCTGCCCTGCGGCAGTCTCGCGCCTAATTTTTTCTGCATACGCCTCGTATCGCTCTTTTCCGGAGGGTGGGAGGATCTCCCATGCTCCGAGGAGATCGGCGATAAAACCTATCCGTGAAATTTCTGACATCAAAGTGGGAGATGCATGGAGACGCGCCATGGCAAAGACGGAAAATCCACTAACTTGTTTTGTAGGGATATGGAAGGCGTTGAACGCGGCACGAGGGGGAAGTTTCAACTCCATACCACCCAGAAGATCGGTATTTACCAAATATTTTAGCTGTTCATTGGTAGAGCGAAGTACACTCTTCCGAAGTTTTTTCCTGCAGTTGTCTTCCATAATCATAAAGCGCCTTACCTTGGCCTCTTGAGCGGCAATCCGTTTCGCCCAAAGTCGCTGCGCACCGCTCATTGCTCGGAGGAAAACGTGGAGCTCATTAACCGCCTGGCGGCCTCCTGTCAAGCTGTGCATCAGGGGTTTACAAACCCTTTCCGACTCATAAAAAAAAAAAAACAGAAACAAAGAAACAAGCATCATGATCCAATAGGGAATAATAAACTCAATCAGAGATATATCTTTATATAGTGCCATATAAAAAGCCTACCAACGTTAGTAGTCTGAATGCTCCTGTTCTTACCACCTTTAAAGAAGATGACATTTAGGTGGAAACGATCCACTCTCCTGTTGTTATTGAAGGATGGAATCATACAAATACACACACACACAGAGAAAGAGAGAGAGAGAGAGAGAGAGAGAGAGAGAGAGAGAGACCCAAAACAACTTACAATCAAGCATCGCGTTCACGTTTTCGCACCACATTGTACACATTGGAGGAATCCCTTTCTTGAACTGTCTCTTTCGGTAACCACAATTTCAATGCCGCCATGTCATTTTCACTGATCCACTGCTGTTCGGTGGGGAACCAGGCTCGTGTTCCTGCCTGTGAACCCGCTGGAGCGCGGAACTCCCTACGTGTGTTGCTTTCCCTTTTGGGGTAATGATACTCGTTTTTTGTTCGCCGATGCCATTCACCAAATCCGGCCCGCTGTGCCACCGAGAGACGCTGACAAATGTCAGACTGCATGGGCGACGTGTATCGTATGACATTGAATGCGAGATCTTTGTGGCCACCTGCTGCTGCTACTGCCGCTGTTGCCGCATCCACGGAGGAGGTCTGTTCTTTAGAAAGTTTATCCAGGAGGTTTCCAAGAGCGGCTTTGGTGTCCAACTTTCCACTCAAAGCAGAATTGGCCTGGTGTTCATTCTTCACGACATTGCTATTATACAGCGCGGACTCACGGCTTAACTCAGCGTGAAGGCCTTGAAAGAAAAGCAGCGCGGACTTTGACGGTGTATGAAGCAACTTTTCCTTTCGAACAACATCCAGATACATGCTTGCTCGGTGAGGTGGAAGGCCTTCAATCATTTTTACACAGCTCTGAAGGATTGCACAGAAACCAGATACCTCTGATCTTGAAAATTCTTCCTTCATCTTATCCTTCGTCGCGTTGCCTGAATGCGATATCGTATGAACATTATTATCAACGCTATGATGCACCTTTTCAGAGTCCATCTTATTCATCTCCTTTCCGCTAATGCAACTCAACAGTTTTTCTCCATAAGTTGATGGAAACAGCCTTTTCCCTCCCCAACGCTTCACCGCCCGGAGCACCTTTTCCCGTAATGCCTCGTCTGCTGTGGAATAGTTTACAAACAAGGAGGGTGCAATTCGCCAGAACTCCTCTAATACCGTCGCAATACATGCCTCATCCTGCGTTGCAGCCATCGCATCGATAAGACAAATAACAGGAAAGGAATTGGGTATTTGACCATGTGTTAGCCGATTACCAATCGCCACCGCAATTCTCACAGGTTGCACACCCTCGCCACACGCACTCTGCAGCGCTGTTATGGTCGCCATAATTTGCTCCTTTGACTGTTTCTGAAGGGCGTCTAGTTTTGCCTGAAACGCGTCCATAAGACAAGAAAAATAAAAAAATGGACGCTTGCAGAATTAAAAAAAAAAGAAAAGGAAGGAGTTCTTCAAAGTTTGTTGCCAATGCAGTCATTCCTGTACTTGTTTAAAGCTCCAGGTTGAGATTATGCCGGGATTCGGGACGCCACAGCCCCTGAAAAAAGAAACCAATCTTGGTTGCAAAACCACAAAACTGCCAGCTACCATCCATCATTCATCGTCTCATTTCCTTTTTTTTTCTTTCTTGAGTTACTCCTTTTCACCGCATCCATCGCTTTTCCTTCAAAACACCATTTGTTTCATGTCCTTATCGTTTCTTCACGGATATCTCCTCGTTACTGTTTGGCGTACATATCGTAATTATCGTCTCTTCCTGCCCTAGCAAATCGCCCAGCGCGGTTTTATATCGTTCCTTCGCTCCATCACCACAGAGGATATACACCTTCAAATCGTTCCTCTTTTCCATAAGGGCTATTGCTGCACCAATGGCATGCTCCGGCTCCAAAAAGCTTTGTACTATGACATCATCTGTAGACCATACGGGGTCATTTGGTCGACGAAATACCTTGATTGCACAGAGGGAGTCCAAAATACCTTTCGCCGCTAACATATCATCGACCCGTGCCACCTCCACACTTGTGGCGTCTACAAACACGGTAGAAGGGGAGCAGTCAGGTGACACACGAACATACGCCTCAACATCCACATCAAAGTGATCCTGTACGGCTTGGCGCTCAAAGAAGCGCAACCAGTTCCCTTTCTTAGGACTCATGGAGACAGGGAGAAGCGGGACAATAAGGTTCACATCAGTATACACTGGAAGTTTCCTGCGACCCAGTAACTGCAGTACCCTGGCGATGCACTCTGCCTCCATTGATAATGGTTCTCCAACAGCACGGTAGATGGGAGTCCCATTCGTTGCTGAGCGAGAGACCCAGAGAATATTTGAGAATCGACGCTGTACCCATTTGGAGATAGGTTCGCCAAGAGAAACAGCTGGTAAAAAACGCGACTCCTCTTCTATAATTCTTCCAATAAGCTCTTTCTCTATTACCCCCTCATACGGTATAGAAGCTGCAACGTTCTGCATCTTCTCCTCCCAGTTACAGGGGTACAATGTTGTCCCGCTGATAAAATGTGTGCCATTCACTTCGGTCAGTGCCTCTCTCCAAGATGAAGAAAGCTCCAGCACGTCGGCCCCAGCTTTCATTGCTTGCATGCGTTCTTTAATTTCGGACTCGACATCAACCAAAGAAATGCCTGAGGGAGGGGCGTGCTGTACGACGTCTCGCAGAAACACAGCCAACTGCGCGATAGACCTCACAACGATGCACCGCCTCATCACCATTAATTTTTTTTTTTTCCACACAAGGCTAATCCTTTAATAAAGGCAAAAAAAAACAACAACAAAAAAGAAAGAAGCAAACGGGAGAGAATAATGAAGGTTTGAAGGCCATAAGAAACAAAACCACCACTCAACACTTTCCACACCTCTTTTAAAATCAGTCAGTCGATTTCTCTTCTCATCTTTTCCATTTTATTTTTATTTTTATTTCTTTCCTCCCCGATGCGGTCAAATTTACTCTGTCTATCTTTTTTTTTTTTTTTAAATTAAAAACGTGTCACCCTCACCGCCGTACCACGGATGTGTATTTTCTTGGCGCATGTATGTGTATAAATGACAAGAGCAAGGAAGCCTAAAACAGCGCATTCCTTCCCCCTATCCACCTTCTTTTTGTTGATTCATGCGTGTTTTCCCCTTTTCCTTTTTTTTTTTTTTTTTCGTTTACGTTTCTTGGTTTGGGGTAATTTCTTTCAATGCAAACTTCCACAACTTCCGCCTAACTTCGTGCGATTCGTCAGCAGGGTACTCAAATGTTACGGTTTCGCGATGATGGTCTTCAATAATGTTGGCATTCACAAAGAGCTCTCCAAGGTTTTTCTTCAACACATCTATAGCGGAGGGCACGATGGCATTGGGATTGGTGTACTTAAATGGATTCCTCACCGTAAGCGCAAAAGTGACACTTCCTTTTGTTGTTGTTTTGGTCTTGACCGCTGCTGGTTTTGCAACTGCGAGATAATTCTCCATCCCTCGGGTTGATTTCGTGGCATCGCCATCTTTCGCTTTTGTACCGCTCGGAAGGTATACCTTGAACACAACATGTGCGTTTTTCTGAATGGCCTCAATTGTATCTTTCTCTCTCTCTTCTTGTAAGAGGAGACACCTACCGCTTTGAGAGTTGCGCGCTGTTCTTCCGGCACGGTGAACAAAATTCTCTACGGACATGTTATACATTGGCAGGGAAAGCATCAACACCATGTGAACATCCACAAAGTCCAAGCCACGGGCGGCAAGATCCGTGCAAAGGATGACAGAGACGACGCCTCCATTAAAATCTTCCAGTGCCGCAATTCTGTCAATCTCATCCTTGGATGGGCTTAGCGAACAAAATGACAACTCCAGTTTCTTGGCTGAGAGTTCATTTTCCAGCTCCTCAATCTGTCGCCTGGTGCCAAACACCACGGTGCGACCAAAACTCTCCACAGCAAGCAGGCGTGCCGCCGTTTTTACTCGAGAGGTATAGGGACAATGCAGCATAAAGCACTCCAATTTTTCCGGAAGCTTAGCCATACCGACTGCCACAAGTTGGTAATAGTACTTCTTCACGCCGAGGAAACCAGCTTTCAGCACCCAGTTTGGGATGGTGGCACCACAGAGGACGTAGTGGTGGGATCGAAAATCCTTCATCAAACCATCTGTCAGGGAACCGTTGGCCTTGCGAATAAACTTGAGAAGATTTCGCATGCGGCGTCCAGTGTTAGAGAAGCGCGGACCAAGCGTCAGGTCTACTTCGTCAATCACAATCGCACGGACTTCAGAGGCATCCACCGCACCTGCCTCCAAGATTCCCTCGGTTAAATTGCCACAGTCTTCTTCGTTCTCGTTTTCCTCCACATCATTATCATCGTCACAGTCGTCATTGAAATCGTCCTTTTCAGTTTGTTCCACTTCGCCTTCATTATGACGCTTTCGCTTAAGACCTTTCTGAATATCATCCTTTTGCTTGCCACGGATAGCCCCATCAATGGAAGGCACTGTGCCAATCACGATGTCACATCTCTGAGAGGCGAGATCCTCAAATCCTGCAACACAAATATGAAGTTTAGGATAAATATTTTTAAGTACACCTTTCGTCTGTACGGCTAATTCGTTACTGAAGACAAAGATGAGGAGAAATGGACCGGTCGCAGCTGCATCGGCGTGTTTCTCCAGTATCATGTGTCGCTCAATGATAGGAAGCGCATAGGCCAAGGTTTTGCCACTTCCGGTACGGCTATGAAGAATGACGTCCCGACGATTAAAGATGCCGCGATAACACTGAGCCTGACACGGTAAAAGGCTGGTAAATCCCATTTTCTTTACCAAGGCCTTCGCTGTTGCCGCGGTCATTAATGGCGCCTTCCTTTTCTCTTTCTTTTCATCGCCATCCAAAGAGGGGTGAACTTCTCGTCCAATCTGGTACTCCTTCTGCAGGTTACTGAAAGAAGCATCTACGGATTCATTGGCGTGGAAAACGACGGTCCCCGTTTTTTTTATCTTGCTGCGGCGGTTATGTGACTCGTTCTCCCAGTTGTAGAGATTCATTCTAAACCTTCGTGGAAAAGCGCTTCCACATCAATGCAGAGGGGAGAAAAGAGGTGGAATACGTGTTATATGTGGGGACAGGTGGATTGCGTGCACGTCCAAACGCGCCTCGTCCTACCACTAAAGAAAGATATAAGGAGAAGAATGAATGAATTCGGCCAATGCGACACCTGTGAGGTGACACGGCTTCAATCAATGATAACTACCTCCGTGGAAGAAGTTTTTTCTTCCGTGGAACCTTCCGAGGGTGAAGAGGAAGAAGAGAGCGTTATCACATTCGATTCGTCAAGGTCGCCCCTTCCACGTTTCTCAGCAGCCTTGCAGGAAAAAAAGTTCGTTAGCATCGTCTGTCGACCACGATTTTTGCCTTCCACTTCAGACAGCTTTTTAAAAAAGCCAATGGTCAGCGTCACTGCGTTAATCATTATACCAGGATGCCTTACAAAAGTTGCCAAAACAATCTGCATGGCGGCGGCGATCAGAGTTTCTGTTGTCACCAACTCCGGTAAGGCCAATGTATTATTCGAGACACCGCCTAGCTGGCGAAGACCTTGGTTTCCAAGTTTCACATTGAGCCTTTGTCCCTTTGCGTTGTTGGTTTCACAAAACTCCTTGTAACGTGCGCAGAGTTCACTAGAAAGAACTGTTATCCACTTTCGCAACCCCTCTGAAGAGGACGTGGGAGGGCTAAAGGATTTGGACGCCATCAACGTCTTTGTAACCGACTGCTCTTGTATTTTCTCTTTACCATGACAGCGCAGTCTATAAAAGGCATACGTACCATCGTCAACACCAAGCACACTTTGTAACTTTTCCAGTGGAACCAGCCATGCATCGCGAAACAACTCTGCATTGCCACATGCGCGGCAAACGGACTCTCCAAACTTTCCACCAAAACCATGAATGCTTTGGTAAGGGGCGTCCCACACCGCAGAAGCAACGCGGTCCGGTAGGAGCAATGTTTGCTGATTAGGTTTGTGGCGTGATGAGATGGATTTGGCGAGTATTTTATTGTGTGCAATTCCAGCGGAACAGTCGTAGCAAAGTTCCTGGTATATTTTCTCGCGCAATTTCCACACGACTCGCGACGCCGCACCTAGGAGAAGTTGATGCTCCACTGTGGCCTGTGGATGCAGGGCCGTATCAAAGATCTCATTAAATTCTTTTCCCTTTTCAAAAAGCCATGCGTCTATCTCTGCTCGCCGGTCGGGGATGACATTAGTTTCGGGGTGCATGACATCTTCCAAATGATATGAACATTGTGCGCTGGGCAGCCGGATCGACGCCAGCTCTCGCTGGGCGGCCAAGGTCACGTCTAGATATGCCTCATCGACGCTGCCCTTTTCCACTTCCACGCCCTCAAAACTGCGCAAGATGTTAAAGATCTTGCGGCTAGCTTCCCTATATGGTTCCAAGGAAACTTTATGTGTTCCTTTTCGAGCATTTTCGTGATACTTGTACTCCGTATCTCCCACTGCGTACGTGGCGACGTGAGAAACCTTGACATGAGGGCACTTCTCTCGAGCCTTTTCCACAGTGTCGAAGCGAGCGATGCCGCATTTTCGTGCCGGGTAGTTCACAGCAATTAAATTTCCCCACTGTGAAAGAATGTAGGGTTCTGTACGACAGTCAATGCCAAGCCGCACGGCTTCCACTTGAGCGTAGAAGCAATCCATGTCCAAGTGAACGATGCATCGCATTGACAGATGGGGGTTAGAACTGTCGATGGCTGTTGCACCACTCTCACCCTCATATATAAATGTATATCATTATAAGCAGACGCACATCACATTGATTCCAGGCGGAGAAAAGGCCAAAAGGGAAAATATTGGAGAGCAACACCAAAGGAAGAAGGAAATATGAGTACAAAAATGATCAACGAAAACAAAAGCTTCTTATTTGTTCTTGTTGTTGTTCCCGAATGGAATAAAACCGCACATATAAACAAAGAAAAATTACATATTCTCTTTTCCTTCCTTTTTTTTTTCTTTTGTCCTTTTTATAACCATCGTTATTCAATTGTCTGACAGATAACTAACATGAAAGAACGTTATACATTTATGAATCGGGCAGAGTTATTTCCCATAAAGTTACAATTGCATTATCGTTTTCTATACATGAATAACAGGCAACACTTCATGAGCTTGAAAAAAAAGAAAACCAAAAGAAACAAATTCTAAACATTAAAATATTATGTTGTTCACCTCCCAGAAAAAGAAAAAAAGGGGGGAGTGAAAGAAATAAAAATAAACAAATTCAGTTCATTTCCTTTTTTCGTTACCACTTCTTTTGCCGCTCAAGTGATGACTGTGGGGGCGTCACGCCCCGTAAGCTCCGAAATCTGTGAGACATTCAACGCAACGGCGATGAGATTGGCCAGCGCAGATTGAGGAGTAGGCAGCGTGCCGTCACGGATATGCCGTGCTACGGCATTGGGCTCCATGTAATGCTCCAGGTATAGTCGAATTGTGGCGCCTGACGATCCAGTTCCGCTTAAACGAATCACAAATCGAGAACCATCCTCAAATATCACACGAATGCCCTGATTTTTGGAGACCAAGCCGTCTACAGGGTCGTGGTACTCAAAGTTGTCAACCTTGACACAGCGTTTTCCCTGCAAGGAGGGAATGTCCTGGGGGCGCTGCCTCTGTACAGTCTCCATCACAGCCTTGGCTGAATCCTCTGCCACATTTTCATAGTCGTATCGACAGTAGTAGTTCCGCCCGTAGCGCGTCCAGTGGTCTTCAACAATGTCTTTTACACCCACAAGAGGCTTTGACGGATCCACATTTTTACTCGCAATTACCGATAGCCAAAATAATGCTGCCCACACGCCATCCTTCTCACGAATATGGTTGCTACCAGTACCAAAGCTTTCCTCTCCACAAATGAGAGGATTGTAATCTTCGCCTCCAAATAACTCCCGGCTGTCCATCAGATTCCCAAAAAACTTCCAACCTGTGGGAACTTCAAATATTTTAAGGTGATGCATTTCTGCAACACGGTCAACAGCTCCACTCGTCGGCATAGATCTCGCTACCGCCTTAATTCCACCTTGTTGAGCAAAAAATGGCACGACATTTGCATTTGCTGAAAGAATTGCCAAAGAATCAGACGGTGTTACAAAAAAGCGCTCGCCAAGAATCATATTACGATCTGCATCCCCATCAAATGCCGCAGCAAAGTTCGGCACCTCGCCAACAAAGTCAGCAACAGGCCTGCCGGTGGAATCAAGTCCCATGGTTCTCACAAGCTCCTTCGCATATGTGAGGTTTGGATCCGGATGTTGCTTACCAAAGTCCGGCAATGGCGTAGCACCGCACAAAGCACTTTCTGGAACGCCCAAGGCAGAAACAAAAATATCCTTCATATAAGGGCCCCCAATACCACTTAAGCCATCCAACCGAATCGTAAAATCAGTTCTATTTAACAGATTTCGGATACTTTGAAAGTCAAAGATTTTCTTCATGCTCTGGACGTAATCCTCTGTGCTATGGATTACCGAAACTCTGAACCTCTCAAATAAATGGTCACCCATTTCTGACACGTTCACTGTGCCAATATTTGGGCAGGTCAGAAAATGATCAATTTTCAAGGTCTCTTCGTAAATAGCAGAAGTAATTTTCTCAGCCGCAGGTCCTCCATTTTCTGTATTGTACTTGATACCAAAATCTTCCTCAGGGCCACCGGGATTATGACTTGCTGTGAGAATAAAGGCCCCCTTCGCCGTGACATCACCATCCCTTCGTTGACGGATGATGTTTGACACGGCAGGGGTTGAGAGAAGACCATCTTTACCCACCCAAACATTTGATACCCCATTGGCGGCAGCCAATTTGATAATGATCTGAATAGCCTCAGAGAGAAAGTACCGCCCATCACCACCAAGGACAAGGGTATCGGGAATCATCCCCTGTTTCCCAATGGCATTAAAAGTGCTTTGAATAAAGTTGGCTAGATAGTTTTCTTGCTGGAACACCCTCACCTTCTTGCGAAGTCCTGACGTTCCTGGTTGTTGATCAATAAAGGGCCTTGTTGGCACTTTTTTCACGGCGAGCATTATTTGAAACACTACACACTGGGTTTCGCCCAGATTCATTGAATGAAACAAGAAGAAAAACAAAAAAAAACTGTTGAAAAGACACAGCCACACTCTGTTGATTTTTTTTTTGAATTATTCCACCCTTGACTTTCTGTTACAGTTAGGTGTAAAATATGAGAAATAGAGACTATTTTTGCCGTCTCAAACTCATAGAATTCCATCGTGTGCACTTTGCCACCTATTACCGAGAAAAACCACCATTTTCCCGTGACTTTAAACGACGAAGAATACCTTTATTTGTCGCATTTTTCATTTTTCCAAGCACCAGAGAGAGAACATTAAACGGAGGATCGACGTCCATAAAGGCACTCAAAATTTGCGGGTTACATCGGGTTCCCCGTGCCATTACGTAACGCAAAATATGCAGAGCCTCAGTCCAACTCTTTGAGTGTTTTATCATCATGTAAGTTGTTGAGGCACTCGCAGGATGAAGATTATTCACAAGTCCAAGTACTTTCTCCGTAGTGGTATTCGGACAAGACTCTAAAAGGGAAAAAATGGCGCGTCGCTGAAACTCATCTGTGGCAACACGATCGAAAAGAAAGAGTGCAGATTCCCAATCTCCCGTACGCTGACATACTTTTGAAAACGCACTCAACTGAAGCTCTTCAAGAAGATATCCACTGGCAAGCATTGAGGCAATTGCCCTTTTGCTGGGAGCACAAATTCTCTTACTCGCTCCAGAAAGAGTGATGAGTTTTCTTGATTCTGTATTTGGTGTGGCGCATCGACTGAGAATATCGTACGCCTCAGAAACGGGTATCAAATTCGATTGTGATACTATTAAACCGGCTCTCCAACTCTGGCATGAGGCAAGCCACAAGGCAAATTTTCCTTCCAAATGGAAATGATCAAGAGCAACGCGCCAGTTTTGGGGACAACAGACCCCGATTAGCCTGGCAAACATTTCATTCAAATCCTCCACAACTCGATGTTTCAAAACAAGAGAAAGAGCCAGTTTCCACGAAACATTTTCCCCACGCATCGTCGCATTTGCAACCCCTGCTACCGATGTCATGCTGAGGAAATCATTTGTCTTTAAAGAGTTTAAGGCTTTAACCAATCCAGAATTTTCTTGTCGACCTGTTGCTGAAAAAACCGGTAACGCCCTTTTTGTTCTTTGATTAGCTTGAGTTGCCACCTTCAGGTGGTCTAGGTCAGAGGAGTTTAATTGCATAAGTACGGTGTTTATGATATACCTCTTTTCATTGCTCCCAAACACGCGACTAATCCTAAGCCACTCAGATATTTCTTTTATGCTTTTTCCATCTGGGGATTCCAACATGGTGAGAAACTGCAGAGCCTGATTCCATGTTGTCCACTTAATGGCCGAAACAAAAATCCGATTCTGGCTCTCATTCCTCCCTCTTACACTCTGGAGAAATGTTTCAACAACGTTAACAAAGACTTCTGAAGGAAAATAAGCACTCCTAGAACATTCATAGATGAATTTAGATAGTTCATCTAAATAGAAAGTATCTTTCGTTCTCACCAAAGCTAATGCAGTGCACCAATCTTTATTAATTATTGTGGTCGCCAATTGAATTCTTGCCTTGGAAACATCTACTTCATCTGAGTGAAGACTCCCATGAAGCGCCAAAAGTCCTCGAATCCAACGACCATTTCGAACACATTCGGAAACAAATGAAGCCACTATTGACATTGGTTTCTGAGCGTTTTTTAATACAGGTAAAAACAACAACAACGACAACAATAAAATAAGTACATAAAAATAAAATAAAAGAATGTGTCAGAAGATCCAGATATCATAAAAATTATAATCCACTCCGTTTAAATTGATTCCCTTTCCCCCACCAAATTCTCTGTCCCTTTGGTTGGTATCACCACCAATTTAGAAATAAAGAAATATAGCAAACAGTAAGAGATACCTTGTAGCTTATTCCATTTCCAGAGATGCGACAAGCTTTGCGGCAACCGACTGTAGTATTTCAATAGTTGGACTTTTACCGTCAACTATATCTGTCAATGAGACACCCTCTTCACATGCCTTCATTAAGACAGGATCCAGAGGAACTTCTCCCCAAAAGGGAACCCCAAATTCATCACTCAAGCGCTTCCCTGCTCCCTGAGAATTCGCACGCGGGAAAATGACAGAGCTTTCTTTACAGTTAGGGCATATGAAGCCGCTCATATTTTCTACAATTCCAAGCAAATGAAGTTTTGCTTTATGAGAAAAGTTCACTTCTCGCTTTACGTCTGCTTCTGCAACCAACTGGGGAGTTGTAATTAGAATGGCACCGGTTACTCCACCACATTGTTGCAAAATTGATGCAACTGTAATATGCTCATCCGATGTTCCAGGAGGGGTATCAATAAGCATGATGTCGACATCACCCCAAATCACATCCTTCAAAAACATCTTAATGACACCATTTTTTCGGGGGCCTCGAAAAAGAACGGCCTCATTTTTGTCCCCTAACAAGTAATGCATAGAAATCATGGAAACCGTCTCGTCAACCAGAACGGGCTCGATACCTGCGGCGCTTTGATGTGCATCTTCTCCTCGGACGCCCATCAGACGTGGAAGAGAGGGACCACATATATCCAAGTCCACCAAGGCAACATTTAGTCCCATTTGGCCCAAAGCAAACGCAAGTTCTTTGGTGAGAGTACTTTTTCCAACTCCCCCCTTTCCACTGATAACCATGACAGTTCGTTTGACACCTGATAGGCGCTGTCTGATCAATTCAATATCCGGATCCGGTCCTTTTGGCATAGAAGCACATATGGAAGCGTTGGGACATCCTTGGCAGGATGAAGCAATTCCGGCCTCTGGACTTTCAGGACCGACACACTCAGAGTTTGGAGTCTGCATCAATTTCTTCTGATCTTTTTTCCAACTCTTACCCACACAAGCCACATATAGGCAAAAAAAAAAAAAACAAGAACAAACAAACAAAAAACAATAACAACAACAACAAAAAATAAAAAGATTCGCACACGAGATTTTCCTCACACGTGTTGCACAAATGAAAAGATGCATGCGGTCCATATATTATTTGTGATATTCAAACATGATATCAAGAGATAAGCCTTATATAATTAGGGAAAGCTGATATTAGGACATTGCTTATCAATTTGCTCAATGACCATCCTAAAGGCTCGCTGGACATTGACTCCGGGAAGTGGCTTGTTTTCTTCATCTTGTGCAACTAACAACTGAGTCGAACCTTCAAATAACCAGCCACTCAGGGGCATTCTTTGGACAGGAACAACTGTATTCAAAGGCAATTTCTTACCACAGAGAATGCTTGTTTCGTAAGCCCAAAGCTTTGCAACGTTTCTTAAGGTATAACCTCCTCCTCCCAACACCAGCATTGGCAAACCAATCTTTTTGACTTCCTCAACACATTTTCCATGTCCCCATGACGATAAGTTAAAGTGTCCAAGACGATCTCCAGCCAAAGAATCTGCACCACATTGTAAAACCACAACATCAGGTATGTATCGCTTCACAATTGAGGAAAGTGCATGTTCAAAAATTGTTGTGTAGAAAAAATCATCTATACCATCCCACAAAGCCAAATTCATGGTGCAATGACGTCCATTTCCAAATCCTACGTCACGTGGGTGCCCCGTACCGGGAAAAAATGATTCGCCAAATTTATGAAGAGATAGTGTAAACACTCTATTGCTTTGACAAAAAGCTTCATCAACACCATCTCCATGATGCATATCAAGGTCCACATACAAGACTCTTTTGTAACATTTCAGTAGTTCAATAATGGCAATAACTATGTCGTTTACATAACAAAATCCAGAGCATTCCCCACATTTTGCATGATGCATTCCACCACCCCAATGAATAACAGTATCAGCCTTTCCACTGTTCAAGAGTATGGCTGCCATAAGTGAACCGCTTACAGTAGAAAGCGAATGTTCCATTATCCCTTCTACTGGAGGACAATCCCCCGAAAAAGTCACCTTTGAAATTTCTGTATTCCATAACCAACTTTGACTGCTATGGAGACCAAGGTTCGAAATGTAATCTTCTGCATGATAAGTCTGTAACTGTTCAATTCCAATAAGGGGTGGTACGACTGTTCGACAATGGCGATCTAGTCCCAAACTTTTAATAAGCTCCATTGTAACTAATAAACGATATGGCTTCATTGCATGTTGCGGTACCAGGGCAGAAAGACTACAATCTGCAGAATAGCAGGATGTGTCAATTAATGCCACAGGACGATCAATATCTGCGACTGCCATCTGGTAAAGCAATAAGGAAAAAAAAGTCCTTCACAAGGAAATTCGGAAAGAAAAGAGTGCAATAAAACATAAAAAAACAAATAATGCTAAAAGGGAACAACGAGAAAAACAAAAGGACGAGATCCGGGCAATCACGGTAAGAGACCAACGCTAATAATAATAATAATAATAATAATAATAATAATAATAATAATAAGAGCGGTAGTGGTGAAGACGGGCCCCGGAGCATCCAGGGGAAAACAGAAACCCGGGCGGCCGGGAGAAGAGAAGAACCCCGACTCACCCCTGGGAGGCCTCTTTTCCGGGGAAGTTCCTTCCGTCAGGCTTTCCTTTTTTTGCTTTCTTTTTGCTGCGGCCGCGTTCGCCGCTCGCTGCGTGTTCGTCTTTCTTTGCGGACCGCCTTTTCCCGGGCGCGGGCCGTGGCAGGTAGCCGGGGCCGAGCCGACCTCTGCTCCGTTATCCTCTTCTAGGGGTTTTACTTTCGCAATGTGATTTTTTGCTTTTTTCCCTTTATTGTGCAATTTTCTTATTTGAATAAATAGAAGCAATGTTTCGTCTAAGGGCATATTCTTCATGCGCCATTGGATTCCATGTTTTTTTAAACACTAGGCGTTCACTATCAATCGAGGAGTCAGCAGAGCGAGAAAAGGAAAGGACACTAAGAGAAAAAGTTCTTGCGAGATATCGTGGTACGAATTTCCCGGAATTAGTCAATATTCGCTATGGGCATTTCGCAGAAAAAGAGGGTGCGACGCGCTCTGCTGCGTCGCAGGCTTATCGTGCGGTAAGTCAGGACCGCTTCTTTGGACAAAATGCCTCAAGTGGTAGGCAGGGTGTGGACTGGTTTATGCTTTTTACGGGATTAGCACTATTTTATGTGTCATCTAAAATGTTGTTGCAGCGTCTTTCAGGCACTTCCTTGGATGGTGCAAGCGTGCCCTTATGGACTGCAAATCCAGAAACACAGGCCAAATTTTTGCTTTTTTCTCTTCAATTTGACCCCAATAACCGTGAACAAATCCAGCAAGCGTATCACAGCGTTCGTCAAGCGTATCCGTTCACGGATTTTTTCCAGTGGTTGCGGGTTCAACACCCCGAATATGGCCAAGGCATCGTTTTCAGCTATGAAGCAGCCGTCAACTCTCTGGTTACTATTATTTCCAGTGGTGATTCTTGGGCACTCATGAACTTGGCTCGTGGGTTCCAAAATGCTCTTAAAAAGCGCAATACCAACTCGGCACAAAGAATCGATGATTTTTTGACGGATGTGGGAGCTTTGGCTGGCGCTCAGTCTCCAGGAAGGTATTCAATGCTTCCTGGGTACGCACCACCACAGCCACCTCTCCAACCTTTGCAGTTGCATGGGGATGAACCAATGAACATACAGGGCGCAATTGAATCTCCTCCCAGCGAGAGCCACGGTTCGGTTCCCTTTCAGTAGATGGTTTCTGGCTATTTTTGAGTTTTTTCTCGCTTTTTGAAATTTGTGTTCAGTTGGACCTTTTTTGTTGAATGTTTCTTGTATTGGAATTAATAAATTTTTAATTTCTATCTTTGACTGGACCTCTTGTGGTGCATTTTTTTTTGCAGTTGCTTATGATTTTTCCCTTTTTTGCTTTTGAGGTGGGCTTAGTGTGGTGTAGGAAGATTCGATATTTATTAGGTTTAAAAAGAAATACTAATAAAAAAAGAATGAAATGTGGACAAAAGGCGAAGCCTGTTACACATGATCAGGCTGCTGAACTTTACGAAATTTTTTGCCAGATTGATTGCGCCGGAGAGGGTGTTCTTGAAATGTCTAGAGTCAAAGAGTTTTTGCTTGAAATATTACCGGGTCTTACCGAGGACATATATCTTTCTGTTATTTTAGACGCAAATCTCCATAATGTAGAAGAGATAACCTTTGCACAGTTTTTTTTGATTTTCTTTAACATTTCAGCAAGAATGCCTTGTAATGGAAAGTATGAACTCGAACAGTTAAAAGAAGTTTTTGCGGCATTTGACCCAGAGCGCACGGGATTTATTGAGATTAATCGATTTATGCAAATAATGTTGGAGGAGGGAAATCCCATTTCTTCATTTGAGGGAAGGGAGCTTCTATTACAAATTCGATACTTTGGTTGTGCACACAAAGGAAAAGTGAACTATGTAAAATTTTTGTCTATAATTTTTGTACGTGGCGTATCCAATCTATTTTGTTTTGCCGTTTGAGGTGAATGTATCCGAGATTGCTTGCTATATATATATTTTTATTTATATACATATATACCATTTTGAACTTCGTTTTTGCATTATTATTATTATTATTATTTTTTTATTAAATGTAATATGTTATTTGGAATTTAGAATCGTGCTTTATTTTGAGGCGAGGTTTTGAGATGATTATTTGAGGGCACTCCTTTTGCTCTTTTTTTCCCTTGCGCGTGCACTTTCTCGAGATAAAAGAGGTGGGGGAAGGATGTATCTCACATCGTGTTTGATTCTTTCTTTTCTCTTTTTAAATTTTTTAAATTCTTTACGGCAGGTTTGTTCCACAGAAATCGTGAATAATTCTTGGAAAGTCAAAAAAATAATAATAATCAAAAACAATGGACGCTGCGACTAAATTTCTTAGGGAAAGATTTGCACATGTGTCGATGACGAAAAAGGAGATGCTAATTGCAACGGTTCTTGTATTTTTACTTTATGTTTCTTCGATTATGATGTTTTTTGGCATGAATTTCTGGCTTTGGTCTTTTAAAAAAGGAATTAAACGCAGTTATGCCACCATTTTCCTTCCATCAACGGGATGGCTTTTTCTGTTTGTGGTTTCTACGATAGTTCTTCGTATAATTAGCTGGAAAAGTGGACGCAATGAGAATTTTTTCTTTTGGTGCTCTCGTAAGGGCTTTATTCTTTTGCTTTTGATTGGTCTATTTGATTCATTGACTGGGCTTTTATGCCTGTACTCCGCAGTACATGTTCCGGTTATACTTCAATCCGCGCTTATATCGACAGGACCCATTTGGACTTATATACTCGCGTGGATTTTGTATCCGGAAAGTCAGCCAAAGTTTTCCCCCATATTGCTGTTAGTTGTTGCCTTTACAGCTTGTGGGGTGACTCTTGCAGTGATGCCACAGACTCAAAGCCAAAATAAAAAAAAGTATTTCAGCCCTCCTTGGATAGTAATATTTCTTATAGGGACTTTCTTATATCCTCTTTATAATGTTCTTCAAGGTCGTTTTTTGAACGAATTTCGAGGATCTTGCTCACCGTTTACGAGCAAAATAATCATGTTGACATGTGAGACATTTTTGGTTTTTTTTTTTACCTTGACATACTTTCCAATTGATGCTTCTCCATTTTTTGGAAAGTGTGATTCTTTACAAGAATCTTGGGATATGCTTATTTCCAGTTTGAACTGCGTTGCTGGATGCCCCAATAATGCCATTTATATGACTGTATATATTTTGGGTTTTTGGATCCGTCATATTGTTTTTGCGTACATGAATGGATATTCTCCTGTTGTAGCAGCAGTGGCAAGTCAGATGACACAACCAATCAACACATTTATATTATTGATTATCCCTTCATGGAACGTATATGGCGCCAAGACCGTTTGGTATTACACACTTGGCTGTTTCTTGCTTTTACTCATGTCAACCATTATTTTTGTTGTATGGCATGTGCTTAATCGCCCACCTCGTCGGAATGAATTGCCGTTATCATTATCCCCCATGATGGGCAGCGATACTGATAAGGATGATGAAAATGAAATATGCTTATTTACTGAGGATAACACCCAGGAGAGGGAAGGGGAGGAAATCGTTCCCACGCAAAGACACAAAACGGGAAGTTGAAACGGTAACAAACATTTTATGAAAAAATTGCAAATAATAAATCATGTAGGGGAAAAAAACCTGTGTAAAGGGGTAGCTGAAATGAAGTAAAAAAAAATCTGAAACATCTATTTCTAATTTTTGCAAAGGCGCAGGCGCCATTTGATTAAATAAGGGAACAGGAATGGGTAATGTAAAAAAGTGTTTTGGGAAATAGCCCTTTTGTTTTTTTCAATTAGTGCGTGGACTTTTTGGTGTTGAAAGCTTTGGAAGGAATCTGCTTCTGGACGAGAATGGACAATTAAGTGACTAATTTTAACGTTAATATGTATTTTCTTTGATTTGTGTTTCTGCAGATACCGTGTTGGAGGGCAACGGTTTCTCTTATTCTGTTATTACACAAAAAATCCCCTATTCCTTTCGGCACAGGGGAGATTTTCTCTGGTGCGGGTGTTCTCTTAAGGACTGTCACTTTTTTCGTTTATGGCCACTCCAGTTATCGCAAACCACCTTTCGATTAATTATATATATATATACTGTTGTATAGCTGTTGGATAATCTTCCTTTGGATTGAGGAATACTGTTCGCATTGGAACAAACTATCATTTCCTATTGTTGTGCTTTTAATTCTTGCAGGAATAAAAAGGGAGAAGGCCTTATTTAGGCGTTTTTTTTTAAGCATTAGAATGCCTCCCAAAAACCGACAGGAAGAGGAGAGGTCAAAACTGACCCGTATTGCTGTTGTTAATGCTGACAGATGCAAGCCTTCGAAATGCAGTCTCGAGTGCAGCAAATGTTGTCCAGTTAACCTACAAGGGAAGCTTTGTATCGAGGTACAGAAGAAATCTGTGATTTCCAAGATTTCTGAAGAATTATGCATCGGTTGTGGATTGTGTGTAAAGAAATGCCCTTATGGTGCTATTCAAATTATTAACTTGCCATCAAATCTTGAAAAGGACACTGTTCATCGATATGGTCCTAATAGTTTTAAGCTTCATCGCTTGCCTCTCCCTCGCCCAGGGCAGGTCTTGGGACTTGTGGGAGCAAACGGAACGGGTAAGTCTACGGCGTTGTCTATTCTAAAAGGGAAGGTTAAGCCTAATCTTGGTCGCTATCGTAATGAGCCGAATTGGGAAGAAATACTTCGATACTTCCGTGGATCGGAGCATCAAGCATATTTTCAGCATATGTTGGAAGACAAATTGCGTGTTCTTTTAAAACCACAGTATGTGGATCAGATTCCCAAAGGTACAAAAGGAGTGGTAGGAGAACTCCTCGCGAGATCAGATCAACGCGGCATGGTGGAGCACTTTATGAATGTTCTTGATTTGAAAAATGTTAAAGACCGTGAACTTGATAAACTTTCCGGAGGAGAGCTACAGCGTTTTACAATTGCTGCTTTATGTGTTCAAAATGCTGCGGTTTACATGTTTGATGAACCTTCTAGTTATTTGGATGTACGTCAGCGACTGACTGCTGCTCAAGTGATAAGATCCTTATTAAAGGAAGATAACTATGTGATAGTTGTGGAACATGATCTCTCTGCCTTGGATTATATGTCTGATTTTGTATGTGTGCTATATGGCGTTCCTGGCATTTATGGCGTTGTGACAATGCCCTACGGTGTTCGGGAAGGCATCAACGTTTTTTTGGATGGATTTGTTCCAACGGAAAATTTACGCTTTCGCGAAGAGGGTCTCACCTTTCGTATTGTTGATGATTTTGACGAGGTCACTAAACGCACCGCTCAGAACAGTTATCCTTACATGACCAAAAAATTGGGATCTTTTAACTTGACCGTAGAACCCGGAAATTTCTCTGATTCCGAGATTATTGTGTTACTTGGAGAGAATGGCTGTGGTAAAACCACATTTATTCGCATGTTGGCTGGTCATCAAAAACCAGATAACGGTGCAGAGGTGCCACAACTTTCAATCAGTTATAAGCCCCAAAAGATTGCTCCCAAGTTTCAAGGAACCGTGAAGGATCTTCTTCAGACGAAGATTTACGATGCCTTCAGTCATCCTCAATTCCAGACAGATGTACTGAAGCCCTTGACTATTGAAGAACTTTTGGATCAGGAGGTACAAAACCTCTCTGGAGGTCAGCTTCAAAGGGTTGGTTTGTGTATTGCTTTGGGAACGCCGGCAAATATATATTTGATTGACGAGCCAAGTGCCTATCTGGATTCGGATCAGCGTATTATAGCAGCCCGTGTTATCAAGAGGTTCATCATGCACACAAAACGTACAGCCTTTATCGTAGAGCATGATTTTATTATGGCAACGTATTTGGCGGATCGGGTTATTGTGTATGATGGTACACCTGCTGTGAACTGCAAGGCCGGTACTCCCTGCGGTCTGTTGGAAGGCATGAACAAATTTTTGAAGAGCCTTGACATCACATTTCGTCGTGACCCCACAAATTTCCGTCCACGCATTAATAAACTGGACTCTGTTAAGGACCGAGAGCAAAAGGGCAGCGGAAACTACTTCTACATGATGGACACGACGGAGGTGGCGAATAAAAAACCAAATGCAACTGGAAATGAAGACCATGAGGATGAGGATGGGGATGAAGAGAAGGAAGAAGTGGCGCACAAGAGGAAGTCCAAAAAGGGGAAACACTGAGCGCTTCTTTTCTCGGGACGAAGCGGAAAAAAAAAAATGGGTGAAATGAACCAACGACGACAAAAGCAGTGTGACGAAGGAAAAAAAAAAAAAATGAAAGAGAGAGAAACAAAAAAACTGGGGAACGAAACAGATGCTGTGAAAACAAAGAAATAAGCAAGTACGCACACAGACATACACGCGGCCAGACGGGAGAAGAGCAGAAAAAGGAAAAGGGAATCATTTACAAAAAATGAAATGAGGAAGAAAGAAAGAACAGGAAAAACAACAAAAACAAAAACAGCAGGGAAAATGTGACGCCTGATCCCGAGGCATTTGTCTTATTTACAATAGGACTGTTACTCCTATTACACATAAAACTTAAATTAACTTAATGAGAATAATTGCACGATAATGTGCCACACGGCTATAGATGGATTTCGCCGGCCAATTAAGCCTTTTTTGCATGTCATTTTCTTATGTAAGAATTATATATATATATATATATATATATATATATATATATCCTTGTATCTTCTTTTTATCTTTTTTTTTTTTTTTGGGGGGGGGGGTTTACGACTTCTCTCTGTATTCTATCTCCCATTTTTTTTTTTTAATTTCTTTTTTTTTCATATTCTCCTCAAAAGTTGAAATTGATCACATTCGCTACTACATTCACAGCAGCGACTTTTAAGGGCCTCCTTCTGGCCACCCAAGAAGAATAATAGCAGTAGAATTATATATATATAAAGGGAGGGGGGGGGGGTGAAGAAAAAAAGCACAGAAAAATAAATACACAATAGAAACTACAATTTTCGGCTAATTCTATTTAAGAAAAAAAAAAAAGAAAAAAAGAAAAAACATAGAGGAGGAAGAGTAAACTCCTTTGTTTTTTTTTTTTTTTTTTTCTTCTTGTTTTTTTGTTTTCCTTGTGTATTTCTCGTTGTCATCCCTATTTTGCAGGGTGGGGTGCAGTTGTGATTTTGTAGGGTGTTTTGGTTTGTCATGCAGGAATTAATTGCTGTTCGTGTGAAGGATGGGATTTTTGCCGGAAATTTAACTGCTTCGCAGGACCGCGATTTTATTGCAATGAACAAAATCACTCACATCATCAATTGTGCCGGTGGTGAGTTACCCGACCTTTTTGTGAATGATGGGGTGAAATATCTCACATTCCCATGGAGAGACACGACGGGCTCAATTTGTACCGCCGTGATGTTTGATAGCGCCGATGAGAATATTGAAAAAACAGTACGTTTTATAGATGAGGCTCTTGACGCAGGCGACTGCGTTTTGGTGCACAGTCACTTTGGTTTGTCACGTAGTCCAGCGCTGATAGCGGCATACTTCATTGTGAAATATGGCTGGAAGCTTGACAATGCCCTTTCGTTTCTTGAGATGGCACATAAGGACATGTGTATCAAGCCACATTTCTTGCGGCAGCTTCGTATGTTTGCCAAGCGCAATTCTGTAGATCGTGATGTTTTTGACCCCGATGTAGACGACTCAGAGTTTGGTTTAGATAATGATCAATGGATGCTCCGCAACACATTGCTTAATGGACTGACATTTGAAGTTCAGGGCCATAATGGATTGTACAGGTTGTGTACGAGTAAAGTGGAATTAGGAAACCCGATTGAATTGCGTAAAAAAACACCGGCTAGAAAGAGCAAACGCATTGTGTTTATTGATACAAAGCAAGGAACACATGTGGACTCAGAATCTGGAACACCAGTTGTGAATGTACAGTCGTTGCAACAGCTTGACTCAAGCAATCACTTTCTTGGGTATCACGGTTCCGTGTCACTACGCAGTTGGCACCGTTGCAGTAGTATCATGAGTCGCTGCATTACTCCGTGCAGCCGCCGTGCAGAGTCTGATCCACGCACCAACCCGCGTGGGCGACAGGAGCTGATTGTTCGCTCGGAGTCAAAAATAGGACGCAGTGCCTCCATGCTGGATGGGACCAGTTCATCAGCAGCGGCGCGTACGGCAAGTGGACACTCCACATTGGAAGGAGGGATGTATGGGGGAATGGACTCCCGCCACATTGCACCGCCAAACACAGTTCACGCTCCGGGCCGATCACCATTTGCAGCACTTACCTCCAGTCATAAATACCGTAAAGGCTCTCCACTGCCTGCGTCCACGCATGATAAGAAACCTTCTCGTCTCTCCCAACGTCCCTCCTCTGCAAGTGCATCGGAGGCCAATTCTAGAATGCGAGCTACATCTAACCTGGTAGCCTCAAGGGCACCTCGCACCTTTGTAACACGTACCTCTAGTCCAAATGCACTTGGAGGAAGCCTCACTTCCGCGTCACCTGCAGCCTCAGCTCGTCTCTCGAGCTACAAAAATATCACTCCGCATCGATCGCAGCCAGGGAATGGGGTGGCTTCTGCATGGGACAGCAATAAGTCGCGAGAATCGCCATCTGTGGTGCAGCGGTCTTCACTCCGCAACAGTCCACAGGGCTCCCGCCGCGGTTCCCCTGCAGGTCGACCAAATTCAGCCGTAGTGCGAGTTGCCTCGCCTAGTGGAGTTAGATTGGAGAATTCCGACAGCCGCAATGCAAACGGAGGAAGTAATGCCGCAAAAACAGGAGGGAGTGGGATACTTCGTCGCCAATCTCCCTTGGTTATATCCTCTGTTAGACGTTCTTAGATGTATTAGGTTTTATCTCTTGCTTGTTTGAATCCAATTTCATTTTGTTTTATTGCTTTCCGCATCGAAATTTGAATTTAAGAGATAATCTATACTTGTATTATAATGGGACGAAAGCCTCCCAAATAAAAAGAAGGAAGGCGAAGAATGAATGGAAAACCAAAGAAGGAAAAACAAAGAAATTGTAAATACCTCTGAAGACCAATTATATGCCTTAACCGTCAGTTTTTTTAAATTTCTTACTCCTTATATATCTATATATGTATTTTTATGCTTATGCGCCATGCTTCTTTTTCTCCCTTTGCTTGCTCATGCTTGGCTACCTACTCACCCTTTCTTTGTGAATGGATTTACGGTTATATATATATATTTCCCAAATTAAACGACAAAGTTGTGTGTGCGTGCGTGTGTTTCTGCGGAGTGGAGTGGGTAACAGAGCCATCATTGACTGCCGTTGATGCCGGCACACAGTTGGATGGGGGGTAAATCGCAGGGGTCAAGACAGGTGAGGCGAGACAATAAAGAGGCTTACTTATTGCTGCGTTGGCACAAGAGTGGGGGCTAAAAAACAACAACACAAAACCCAAAAGCGAACGAAATGAAGGAGCCAAAATGAGTGCAGTTTGAGAGTGAAAAGGACGAGGCAGCAGCTGATTTGCGTATTTTTGTTCGCCATCCATCTTTTTTTTTTTTTTTTTTGTGACTATGTGGGGTGTGGAGGTTTGGGCTGGTGAGAATGGTGGGAAAAACGAGATGGGAGGACAACTTTCCTCTGCCTTTACGCTGGTACGCCAACTGCTTGCAAGAAACGAATAAACCCGCTAAAAAAAAAAAAAAATAATGGAAAACAAAAAATGCAAAAGTGGGGATAAGAACAAGGACGCATGCAGCTTGGAAACTGTGGGAATAGACCGGGAGACCCGATCAAAGGAAGGGGGGAAAAGAAAAGAAACGTCACAAATGAGGGGATAGAAATAATTAATTCCTCTTCTCCGTTTTTCCAGACA